CTTCCAGTTATTAAGCTAGCGTGAAACTTCACGATTTAGAAACGAATCCAGCGATACAGACAGGGGGTTTCAGATTATAATTTGCAACAAAAAGTGTCAGTTAAAAGGGACTGTCCTTTAAATTTCAAGTAACCCATCATAGAAACCATCCTTGAAAATAAAGAATTTGATTAGAAAATGCGTTTAAAGGGCATACCGTGGGAAATCTAAAAATTGAGAGTAAATAACAAATTGCGGCAACAGTCCAATTTAAGGCAGCTGAAAAAAAATACAAATCGTTATTGCATAATGGTACTTGTAATAAACAACTTGCATACTAACAATGTCATTAAAATAATATTTGAACAAAGAATAAAATCTATATATTTTTCCCAACCTTTCTTTATTCCTTTGTCTCAAATTCCACAGATAAAATATCATAAGCAAAACCAACAAATGCACTAAAAGATCATAATTTCATATTTTTAACTTAAACATTATAAAAACATTCTCTTTGTTAAAGTAAGCATTTATTAAAATATTTTTTAAACTTGCATATTTTTATTTAAAAATGATCCTGTGGCAACAAGAAATAATCTGTTTAAAGAACCTATGACCAGATTTTATTTAAAAATGATGATGTGGCACCAAGAAATAATAGTAAAAAGTAGTTGAATGCCGTAGATAAAGAAAAACCACTTTTCTTTAACTTGAACTGGAGCACAAGAGAGGTGGTTCAACTATGTTCTCGCGGTTCAACAACTTCTCGCAATGCTCTAAGCTGGTTCCTAAACTTATTTTTTCTGATGGTTAACTATTTAAAAGGATAAAGATTAGAATGTGTATTTAAAGATGTGGTTCTGGCCAGATCGTTTAGAGATGAGACCAGGTGCAGGTAGTTTACTGACCAGCCTGCTGGTAATACAGCTCCTAGCCCTAGCGCCGGTCAACTCACAGTTCGTCTGCCCTGACAAAGGGGTTTATCCGGATCCAGTCCAATGTGATAAATACTGGGTAAGTTATTAAAAGTTTATAAGGATTGAGTCTTTGTCACAAACTCTATCTAATCCCTATATCTAAACCCTCAATTTCGTAGAATATCTGGACACATTAATGCAAAAGGTTCAAAAAAACTTCCAGATTTTGACACTTTCCAAACCAAATAATGCCTGGCATTACTCTATTTTGTACAGATATTCTGAGACTGAAACCTATAATTATTTTTAGAAAATATTGACAATACTTAAAAATATTATTAATTGATATCAAATATTTTCGTTTGAATGGGTCGATATTCGATAAAGCTACTTTATAGACCTGTTGTATTTTCTACATGAAAATCTAGATATCAAAGTGGTTGCAAGTGCATTTCCATAAGTTTCTAAGAATTGTCCGGTTTTTCGCATGATTTTATCATTTTATTTATATTTGATTCCGGATTATTAAAATTTAACATGAATTAGAATTGTTTCCGGTTTAAAGGAACTGTCAGTGTAATGTCAAGTGACCCTCCATGCAAAGATGGCAACGTGTGATTCACAATGGTACCCTTCAGACCTTTATCTGATAAATAATGTAGAAGATATTGTCACATTTGAAGAGAAACCACAATTGATTGAAAATAATCAGTTTTCAAAATTGTAAACATTGATATCATAATCCATACTTGATCAGACAAATTGTTTAAGGGTACGTTTGTGAATTGGTCATTTACCGAAATATAGACAACAAAAATATTCATCAAATTTTTATACAGCCTCGACTTTAAAGTTGTAGCAACCTCTCGGACTTCTGCTTTGCCTCACCAACTAACCCACTGTAGCCCTAGACATATACATATTAATAATGCAACGCGCTTTTTTCTGGCTTAAGCTTTAAAGAAGTAATTGGCAACATACTACTTGACTATTGAGTATGAGTACATTGTATGTACTGTATGTATAGGCCATGACCTTTAAAAACAATATTTCTATTTTTGGTTAGAAAAACAAGATATTCTTTAAGTTTTAGGAATAATTGGATTTGGGGGGTGGGGGTCAAGTGGGGGGTTCTGGTGGGTCATTTTGTTGAAGGGGGAGGGGGGTATTTGATATCTACAAGGAATTTAAAAGGCCAAGTAGAATTGAATGGAAAAACAAATTAAGTAAATTATATGTTATGGAATATAAGAACCAGGAACAGGATGGAAATAGAAGGTGAGAGTATGAGATATAAAGGGTGGGAGTGTGAGATATAAAGGGTGGGAGTATGAGTTATAAAGGGTGGGAGTATGAGAGATAAAGGGTGGGAGTATGAGAGATAAAGTTTGGGAGTATGAGGTGTAAAGGGAGAGAGTATGAGGGGTTAAGAGTGGGAGTATGAAGGGGTAAAGGATGTGAGTATGAGAGGTAAAGGTTGGGACTATGATGGGTAAAGGGTGGGAGTATGAGTGGTAAAGGGTGGGAGTCTGAGGGTTAAGGAGTAGGATCTGAAAAGTAAAGAGGGGAAATAAGTGAATTCTAAGGAAGGAGAGTCTTATTTCTAAACAAGGGGTAGAAGGGAAGGAGATTATGGAGAGGGTTGAGGTTTGAAAACAGGAGAGAGGGTTCGAGTCCAGAGGGATCATCAAAACACCTCTGAGGGTGGGAGTCCTTGAGGAGTCTATTCTAGGGTTGTTAGGTAGTCTAGGAGGAGCTAGAGATTCTAGGAGGGGTAGTTTTGGGGCAAGGAGGGAATCTAGGGGCAGAGAGGGGAGTCTAGTCTAAGAGGGGAGGGAATTTAGCGAGGGTTAGTCTAGGATGAGGGTTGAGTTGGGACTCTAGGGTCAGGGAGGGGAGTAGGGAGGGGATCAAGGGAGGGGGAGACTAAGATGAGGGTTTTGGAGGGGAGGGGGGGGGGGCGTTAAGGTGAGTTTACAACCTTGACTTCTCCTCTTTAAGGAATATTTCAAGTATGTTTGAAGATTTCTGAAAATTAAACCAGAATTTTTGCAACCCTTAGATTTAGGCAGAATTTGGCATCACGGAAAATTATTTCTTATGAATGGTTTTTTATTCATTTTTTCTCAGCAATTTCTTGGTCTGTGCTCTATTTTTCTGGAATGTTTTTCCAACAATTTTTCCTTTCAACAAATGAATTGAGTTTTTGCCTCAAACTCTGATTTTCTAATCTCTATATCTTTTCAACCCAATGTCGTAGACCTTTGATATTTCAAACTATGAATCCTGTTAGACCAAAAAATCTAAGTTTGAAATATCAAAGATTTGCACCATTAGATTGGACAAATATAGGTATTACACAATTTTAGTTTGTGTTAAAAATTCATTTCCTTTCCAACAAAGGAATTGATTCTTTGCCACAAACTCTGATTTTCTAATCCCTGTATCTTTGCAACCCAATGCCCTCCAGCTTATATATTTCAAACTATGAATTCTGATGAATCAAACAAGTATAAAAGGTTTACAAAACCAGTTTCCAAAGTAAAAGAGATTAAAAAATTTGAGTTTGTGGCAAAGACTCAATTCTGTCTCAACTGATTAATTAATCGAGCTTTTCATAAATGGGTCTTTTGCAGCTAGTTGATAAATTTTTTTGATAAATTGATAGTTGATAAATCTTTTTAATAAGTTATGATTGATCTACTAGCCGATTGATTTATTGCTTGAAAATTGATCAATCTCCTGTTTTTTAAGAACCTTTAACTTTTAAAACTAATTTGTCATTTTTTTGTAAAGATTTTGTATAAAATCATTTGTTATCATTTTTCGAGTTTTATGAACGTAAACTTTTTGCAAATAATTTGCACGATCCGTTGTTAATAGTGCGAATTCCTGCTGAGTGCAATTGTTCCGCATTTTGTATTCATCCATTACTATTTAGATGCTAGAAATTGAAGAACAAAATATACAGATTTAATTGAAATAGAAACAAAATTATTACTCTCCCTTGTCATTTTTATTAAATAAAAGGAATTAATTGAATTATTGCCACATATAAAATTTTCTAATCCTTATATCTTTGCAACTTTGGTATTTTAAACATAGATGAATTGATCTAACAGAATTCATAGTTTTAAATGTAAAAAAGTCTACGATATCAGGTTGCACATGATAAAGAGATTAGAAAATTGTGGCAAAGACTCAATTTCTTTGAAGTCGCTTCGCACCCATCTTTTAGATAATCTTACCTTTTTTGGTAAAATTTAATGTTTTCTTAGGTGAATTTTCAAAACCCTTAAAAATATAAAAAATCTAAATTTAAATGATTGATATATTATAATATAAAAGTTTTAAAATTGAAAACCGTCTAATTTAAATTTTTTGTTTAAACTTACATTTGATGAGTTCAAATAAATGGATCCGGATCCGTTGGATCTCCAATATTTAGGCTTACTTGTAAAGAGATGTGGATTCACATATTCGGATCCAATCGGCAAAAAATCCACTAAAACCTGTTTTTAAAAAACTTGTTGCTCTCAAACACAAATCTCAATTGTTGAAAAATTAGTGAATATTAAAAACTTCCTAACCTTTAAATGATTTATAATTTTAGCATTTTTTACTTGTTAAAAAAATACAGGATCCGAAATCGCATCATCAAATCACGTCAAACTAAAGTAAAATAAGATTGTAATTTTATATGTTTTTATCATAACTCCATTAATTAAAGAGCTATTGGGAAGATGTTTTGATTTCATAATATATTATAACCAAATAAATTGTCTTTACGTCACATGTGTATAAAATAAGAACTAGAAGAGCAACGGAGTCACAAAGTTGTAACAGTAATGACAATTGAATTTGACCTTCTCCTTCTGGTTAGTTTACAGTGAAATGAAATGAATCTGCTCAGCACTGCTGGCCAAATAATTTTTATAATATAAACTGTTGTTGTCCAAAAAATATTAGAGACAGAAAAGGCAAATCAAAAATGTAACTTCAAATCCATTTTTTTTGTTTAGGATTGTAAAACAGGAGAACCTGAACGCCAACTTTGTCCAGACGGACTAGCTTATCATCCTAATAAACCAGAGGGTAAATTAACCAGACAAATGCAAGAAACGCACTGAATTTCAAAAGGCTAAACCAGGTATTTTACAGTACAGTACAGTACAGTACAGAAAGTATGGTACAGTCAACAAGTGTACAGTGCAGCAAAACATTACATGTTCTTTAAATTTCAAATTACATAATATTTAGATTCCGTATACTAACTTATACTGTACATTTTTCTACATTTAAAAACAGGGATTAACAATTTAATTCGATATATACCATGGGACGAAAATTTCAAGGTGTTTGCTCCCCTCCCCCTCCCCTCCGCTCGGGGTCCCCCTTTTATGAATATCTATTCTCATTCATAATATTTTGATCCGGCCAGATATCCCTGAAAACATTATTTGTTCTTTTCAGATGTTATCCAATTATAAACCTTAATCCATTATAGTTCTTCGTTTATCTGTGTATCCCCCCCCCCATCCTGCCTACTCCCTCAAACTAGGCCCTGGCATTGATAGCTTAAAAAGGCCACTGCCTGCTGCCTGAATGCTGACCATGGACTGAAGATGGTATCTAGGAATNTCACCCCCCCCCCCATCCCTATCTAGGTGTGTATGTGGAATCAGACTCTTCTTGTGCCCTGAACCCTTGGAACCCAATTCTATGTCCTTGATTAAGTAATTATATTGTATCTACAGAACTCATTTATTAAATACAGTAAGAGTCTGAAAACTCTGGAATAGAAAGACGACTTTTAAGCTTAAAGTGTGACTGTAACTAGTCAAATAAACAACAAAAAGAGCAAATGTGCAGTGCAAACAGACCCATTTCATCCAAATAGAGATTCAATAAGATACTTTTGAAACTATTTAGTTAACAGCATCATATACATTATACACTAATTATTACTTTGATGTCGTCTACTTATTCCAAATCTTTCTGGTTCTCACTGTACTAGAAATACTCCATTTGCTCTCATGTTAGCTGGCAACATTCTCAATTCTAATCCCTCATATTCTTAGTTGCAAAAAAAGAACAAAACTGATAATGGAGCGCTAATGACTATAGGATGCATTCATTATAACTTATAAGGACGTACATTAATAATGGAGTCTGAAGAACGTACTTTCCATATTAAAGGGACTGTGAGTGGCATTTCCGATTCACCTATGGTACCCATAAAGGTTTTGTCTGAAATGAAATTTTTCGAAATTTTATTCTTAAATACTGGTTTCTCTATAAAAGTGACTGGCGGATTTCTGCTTACAGAAACAGTGAAGAGAATTGTCCTTGTTGCTAAAATACTGCATCCTTACGCGGATATAACAGTTCGGTACTTATCCCAGCAAGCTGTGACGTTCACAATTGGACCAATTTAACTTAATGTTTTCACCTTTTCTATTTTATACTTTAATCTTGGCTTTTATGTGTTAAATTAAAAAGTATTAAAAGACAACTCTGTAAGTTTATAGATGTTGAATGAATGAATGTTGAATGAATGAATGAATGAATGAATGTTGAATGAAAGACCAAAACATGATTGAATTCAAATTGAAGAAACCGAACGCATCGCCCTTGTTACCCCCATGGTTGTCCTTGACTAAGATCAGTGGGAAGGAGTAGAATCTATCTAATTAATCTGGACAATGAACTAGATACGTGTACATGCATACTAATCATGGAGTATGGAATAAAATGGAGGAGGGGTCCGGTCCGCCTCACTACATGAACAGACGGTACTTTAATTAGAAAATGATTTAAATGTGGTTTTCAAGCATACCAAAATAAATGAAACCGATTTCTTGATAATAAAAAAACTCTTTTCAAAATTGAGTACCGTCTGTTCATGTAAAATCATATGGTAGTGAGGCGGACCAGGTCAACCAACCCTTCTTTGTATTTCATACTCCTTCATACTAACTCTAGATTATAATACCTGAACACATTCATTAACAGTGATTTCGTTGCACTCGATTTAGCATTTATAGACTATATAAATATATATATATACATATATGTATATTTATTTATATCAGACAATATATAAATCTATATAAATCTATATAAAATATGTAAATCTATAGACTATGTAAATATACATATACATATATGTATATTTACTTATATTAGACAATATATAAATTTATAGACTAAACAAGCTCCCACTCCCTTCACTACAGCTAGCTTTGCTATAATATAAGGTTAACCAGAAAGGATGAGAATGTAAAGACGACCTAAGCTTTAAATTTGACTATTCTGAGGTTGAATTAAGTCTTCTGTTTTGAAAGTTGAACATAATCCGTTTATAGCTTAATCAATGATTAGGCAAAGAAAAAAAAAAAAAGTTTACAGTTACAGGGAGAAGAGACAGTATAAATTCTAAACAATCGTTTCTTAAGTCTCATTCTTTGTGGGTAACCCTGTATATACAAGAAGGCTTAATGCAAGCTTGGAACTTTTAAAACACAAATCCGTTTATTTGTCAAAATGGTCTCCGTTCATATTAATTTAAATATTAAAATGATCCTTGAAATCAAGAAATATGTGTGGTTAATGAGAAACCTAATTTTAAAAATCTAATTTGCGTAGATTACTGAATATAATCCAAATCTCATGTGTTATTTCTTAATTTAAAAATATCTAATTGTTCTGAACCTTATTATTTTTTTTATTATGATATTTTTGTTTATATTCTACATATTGATGAATTAACTGAGTTTAAATAGCCCCCCCTCCCCTCCCCCCAACTCCATTTTGTTCGCTTGCCAACGTTTCTGCTCATCTTTCCATTTATGTACATGCATGCATAAAAGAATATCCCACGCTGGAGTTAAAATATAAAAGCACAATGCAATCCCACGCACATAACTCTTTTAGCGCATTCATCATGACGAAGACTGATTTTTTAAACGGATAAAAATAGAAGCAGACTTTTTGAAAAATTTTAATTTTTTGGTAGACCTTATGTCCTGAGTGAGCTAATAGAAATAAAAAAACCTGAGACCAAATTTAAAGAATTTGAGCCGCGGCTTAAATTTGAGACGCGGCTGAAATAGGGTTGGTTCCGCTTAAAATTGCATCCACTTTTTTAAGATTTGAGACGGCGCTTAATTGAAACCGGTTTTTGGCGGATTTGAGACGCGGCTCAAACTCATTAAATTCGGACTCTGACCTAACTACACAGTGGTAATGGTAACTTTGGAATGGAATGACGACTTTGAAACTCAAGTTATAACTTTTAAAAGTCCAATGAGCAGGAGACACAGCAATTGTGCAGGTGAATCTGATCAAATAAACTAAATACTTGATTAAATATGTATCTAGTAAAACTATTTGCTTTGTAACAACATCAAATACACTTAAATATTGCTATAATGTCGTCTTCTTATTCCATTCATCTCAAATTTTTTGAGCAAATTAATAGCAAAAGTCTGCTTAAGATCTGAGTTCATAACAGAATGCCAAGTTTAGGAGTTACCATGTCAAAAAGTCGATCAAATTACCCATAATCAAATTAACTTTATCTTTTTGATTCGTTTGTTGTTTAAAAATTCTTACTTTGGTTTGACAACAGCGCCGGACTACATAATATTTAAACGAAATGATTAAAATATTTCCGAACAGAAACCTGAATCAGAAGAAGATTCACATTATAGATAACTGTTCTTCATCTACTCTCTTGAGCCCTGTTTATCCGCGCGTAAGTGCGCGCACGTTTTTTGCGTCTGTTGAGCGTCTTCCTATTCTGCGCTTAAACCCTCTTCCTCATTCTGTATGATACAGGATGATGAATGAGCAGAATTGATCATATATTTGATCTAAAATCTTCACATCTACAACTTGAGTTTATAAATATTTTACTGATTTATTATATAACTTTATATCCCGCTATTCTTGTGAGCTTCAATAAAATCTTAGATTTGTATCCAAGTCAGGGCTTGACAAAGGTAATCCGACAACAGGTATATCTGATCTCAGAGGATGATAAATATACTTCTCAAAATAAATAAATTACTAACACAATGAGAATAAATGTGAATAACCAGGGCGAGATGCATTGGGTTTCTATTTGAATTCAATCGCTTTAAACTATATCTCAACAATCTTAAAATTTACGAAGTTCTCTTTTTTTACTTTTTTATTTAGAAGATGTCGACAAAAAAGTATAAAAGAGAAAAGGTGAAAAATGTCTGATTAATAGGTCAAATTATGCTCGAAAGTCAAAGCTTACTGGGATAAAGACCGACCTGTTAACTCCGTGGGGTCGCAAGGGGGGTACCACCCCATCCCCTCCCCTTGATAAAACGAATATAAGTCAAAGTATAGAAGTCAGTGTATATGGCCTGTATATGCAGGGGGGGGGGTTACCAACCCTGCCCCTCCCCTTGATAAAACGAATAGATGTCAAAGTATGGTGTAAATAAGGTTTAAAAAGCTAAAAAAAACATTTTTTCTTCACTATTGGCTATTTCAATTGTCAAGAATTAAATATGTAAATTCGTCTTTTTAAAGGATGTCTGTTTAAAGACTAAAATATTCCTATTCTAATCCCTTGGGTCACTTGTATAATAAGGTTAGTTACTCTCGATGGGCTTCAATGTACGGGAAATGTCGTCTTCTAAGATATATAGATAAAACCTAATATGACGTCACTTTCGCCTCTACAATCAGTGACGTCATATTAGGTTTTATCTATCTATCTTAGGAGACGACATTGGAGAGCATCTAGAGTAACCTAACTTATTATACAACCTTGCTTAGAATATTGCTACAAAAGAGTATTTACGAATGAGCATAAATGCTTTTTTGTTTTGTTTTGCGACACCCTTTTGTGCAGATTTTATTCGTTTTGTCCTTTTTCATGTTCATGTTGTTCTTCATTTAAATCTGAAATTATGAAAACAAAGATATCTTTCTTATTCATAAATGCAGCAGGATAGGATGTAAAGATAGAATTGTTATTAATCTTTGCATATTATTTACCCCCAGGGATTAGAGATTAGACGATATTAAACAGTTATAAAAGAAAAAATATCTAACAGCCTAAAGGTAATTTCAATTGACCCTCAATGCCCTTTATCAGATCAAAAA